AGCTCAGGAGTGAGCAGAACTGCCCTCGCGGGCGGATGCGGCCTCCCGGAGGCCCAGAAGCTCCCCCGTCCCCAGGCCAACCAGGGGCAGAGGAGCACGAGAAGTTTCCTCCGCACTGACCCTGCCCTGTGAGGAGCACTTGGCACTTACAAGACTTCGAGCTCTTCTCCGTCCCCAAGTGTATGCTTAGCGGGATTTTTAAGAATACCGGAACACTTAGCCTGTATTGAGATCTATGGGACTTAGGCACCCGGCTGATTCTGAGAACCCCAGCCGGTGCCTGTCTGATTCCCCAGGCAGCTACAGAGCAGAGGTTTCGAGGTACCTGGACAGAGAGGTCCCAGCTGACCCTTCATCGTTGCATTCGGCGGTGCGAGGCCCAATCGATGTGGAGGCCTGAATCTCCTCTTCAAATCCCGCGAGACCTGGTGCAATTCGGGCCCGAGGACTGCAGTTTGCCCCCCCGTGAAAAGGAGCGATCCAGGCCCCGGGTCTGGGGAGGGGCCGTGCCCACGGGGGCAAACGGGCGCAAGCCGCGCGGAGAGGATTTGGGCCTGAACGTGCCCTTAGCTGAGCCGGGTTCGTGTCTTGGAGCAGCTGCGGGGCTCCCCGGTAGAAAAAGCTTCGAGGCGGGGGGCGGGGTCGTGTGAGGGTCAACATCAAGATCATTTCCTTAGTTCATGATCTGTAAGACGCAAAGTGCAGACAGAAGCTTTTCCCTTGTCATGTTCAAAGCTCTTCTGCGGTAGGAAAGCGGCGGTTTTCAGACCACGCCCCCGCGGTGTAACATTGAGGGATTCCAATAGCACTGGTGCTACTAAATAATAACAAAACAAACTAACAAATAATAAAACAATTCCGTTCCCAGGCACTAGAACCGTCTCGCCCCAGCCACATTCCCATTCCCACGGCCACGCGTGTTCCATTCGACATCCTCCCACGCTGTCCCATCCACGCCCCGGCTGATGTTAACAACCCGGATTTCCCTCCAGCACGGGCCCTTCCCCACTGTACCTCTGTGTGGGGCTTGGCCTCCGAAAAAAACGTGGGACATGAAACAGCAGAGATGCGCGCTCCACGCAATTGCTGGTTCAGATCCGATCACACACAGACACGGGAGCCTTGTGACTTTCTTGCTCGGCTGGCGCGGGGTTCCCCGTGGGAGTGCTGCTCCCGCCCAGAGCCGAGGGGCGAT